TTATATATATGATAATATTATAATATATATTATAATATGTATTTATATATTATAACATATATAGTCTGTCCCTATAAATATATATATGAAACAAAATATATATTCTAATATATATAATATTATTACAATATATATTCTAATATATATTTTATTATATTTATTTTATTAATATTTATGTATATTTATTTTATTAAACAAAATATATGTTATATATATTATAATATTATTAGATATATTAAAATATATATTTACATATTATAGTATATACAGCCTGTCCCTATATATATGAAACATAAAATATATAATATATATTATATTATTACAATATATATTATAATATATATTTATATATTATAATATATATTATAATATATAAATATATAATAATATATATTTATATATTATAATATATATTATAATATATAAATATATAATATATTTTATTATATTTATTTTATTAATATTTATATATATTTCTTTTATTAAACAAATTATATATTATATATTATAATATTATATATGTTATAATATAAATTTATATGTTATAATATATAGATAGTCTGTCCCTATATATATATGAAATAAAAAATATATAATAATATATATATTATAATATTATTATATATATATTATAATATATATTTATATATTATATACATAGCCTGTCCCTATATATATATATATGAAACAAAAAAGTGTGTATATATATATATATATAAATATTTAAAATACCTTTATGTGTATTAAATATAGATGTGTATATATATATATATGTATGTATGTATATATTTTTCCGTGCCATTCATCGTGCAGGATGGTGACGCTCAGCACCCCGGTTCCAGGTGGGATGGTGGCATCCCCAGGCACCCTCCCCAGAGCTGACCTCTCCCTGTCCTCCCCCCGCTCCAGTGCCCTCCCTACCTTCCCCTGGGGGTCCAGGCAAGCGGCGAAGAGGTGCCGAGGTGGGCTGGGCTGCTCCAGCAACCCCTTGAGCAGCGCCAGGCCCAGCCCCCCGTCGCAGCCGGTCAGCAGGACGCTGCCCACGCCGAGCCCCTCCATCCCCGCCGCTCCCCGCGCCGGTTGTGCCGCTCCAGCAAGGTTTGGCAATCGGCCCCGATAATCCGGGAGGAGGCAACGCGGGTGCTGCTGGGATGGGTGGAGGTGGGGGGCACCGCCTGTACCCCCTCTCCTGGAGGGGATGGGACAGCAGGATGCTCTTCTGCATCCTGGGTCACCCATCACCTCGACCATGGGGCTGTCTCACCCCTCCATACCTCAAAATACCCACTCCCTCCAGCCACGGGCACCCCAAAGGGGCGAGGGGACTTTCCCAGCTGTCCCCTATTTTTGGGGTGACCCCAGGGGGCCAGAACATCCACAGGAGCGCAGGCGAGGCTATTAATTACAGTACAACCTTTATTAATACTGGAATCTTCACAGTGCATTCGTTACTTGTAGCAGTGACTATGGAAAACGGGGAAGGGGCGGGGGGGGGGGGAGGAACAGGGAAATTTCCACCAGAAAAAAAAAATTTAAAAGAAAAGAAGGAATGAAAGAAAGAGAAATAAACTTGGCAGAGGGATGGGGAGGGGGGAAGCGGCGGCAGAGGCGGGAGCACATTGGGTAAAATAAATTAAAAAAAAAAAGAGTAAGGACCAAGTTAACAACAGCACCAGAAAAGTTACTTCAGTCGAAAGACAGGTCAGTTTTTTTTTCTTTTCCAAGGAATTTTTGTTTTCTGTACAAAATAAGAGACCCCCTCCCTCCCTCAAACCCAAACATTTGTCACTTGGCATCAGCGGTTCTGGGCAGGAGAAGGGGAAAGGGGGAGAACTAAATTGTTATTCCTAAGGGGAGGGCTGGGGGGGCTGCGATGCGACAGACAGCGGGGCGGCGGGGCTATGTACAGCGGGGCCGGGGGTTGTGCTTTCCTCCAGCCGCCGGCAGAAATCAGCTTCTTCACTTCGGGGTTCTGCCTGAAACCTCCTGTTCCCTGGGCCCATCCCCCGAGCAGGGCCCTGCACAGGGGCTTCAGGGGCTGAGGGAGGGGGCTCGAGGGGGGCTGGGAGGGATCCCTGGGAGGGGGGGCAAAGAGGAGGTTCAGCATCCTCAGCCACTGCGCACCGGTGTCCCCCCAAGGCAGAGGGGACTGCAGTGCCTGTGCCCCCAGCCCCCCCCTTCTCACACATCCCCCCTCCCCTGCACCCCCCTCCCCATTGCTTCTGCCCCTTGAAATGAGGTTGAGCCGTGCTGGCCCCAAGCAGGCAGCTGGGGGGGATTGAGCCAGGCCCCCCCACTCCTGGTGCTGCTGCCACGGCCCTGCGGGCACCGTCCTCTCCTGCTGCGGCTGGGGCCACCCGCCTGCGCCCGGGGAGAGAACACAGAGGGCAGGGAGTGAGTGAGGGGAAAAGAGAAACAACAGGGAAGAGGGCAAAAAAGGAAAGGGGAAAAAGAGGAAAAAAGAAAGGAGGAGAACAAGAGTTAATAAGAAAGGAGAAGAAAAAAGAGGAAAAGAAGAGAAGAAAAACGAGAAAGGAAAATAAGAGAAGAAAAAGAGATAAATAAGAGAAGAAAAAAAAAAGAAAAAGAAAAACATGCAGAAAAAAGAAAAGGAGAAAATGGGAAGAAAAAGAGGAGAAAAAGGGGCAAAGAAAGAGCAAATGAAGGAAGGATACAGGGAAGAGGGCAGGGCAAGAGGAGACAGGGACAGGGAGTGGGGGCCACCAGGGAGGGACAGGGCAGCGGGTGCCGGCGGGTGGGGGGTTCCCGGGGAGGTGCAGCGGCTGCCCCCGGGAGGTCCATGGGCCGCGGCGGGCACGTCCCCGCTGGCCACGGCGTCATCACGATATCCGCGGGGCCGACCTGTCATTGGTGACGGTCCTGCGCAGCCGCACCCCGCGCCGGATGGCCACCAGCATGTCTTCGGCCGGGGGGTCCATGGAGGCCGCCGGGGGGGGCGCGGGGGTTTCCTCGCTGGGGCCGGACCCCACGAGGGTGGTGGGGAAGGGGAACTGGCCTTCCCCCAGGGCGTGGGCGCCGGCCACCAGCTCGCCGATCTTCTCCACCAAACTGTGCCTGTTGGCGGCCAACTGTTGGTCCTCCTCTTCCTCAGCGGAGAGGTGCTGGCCGGCCCCGGGGTACACGGAGATCTCCATGGCACCGCCACCCCAGGCGGTGTTGGGAAGGCTCAGCCGCTTGGGCGAAGCTTTGGCAAAATCCAGGGGGTTCGGAGAGGCGTCGTCAGCGTAGAAGACGCACTCTTCGCTGCCCACCCGCGTGGGGCCAGCGTAGCCAGGGGAGTCGGGCACCGTGGGGGTCTTCACGGGGACAATGGGGGGTCGGATGGGGATGGGGCCGGCGTTGGAGAGGGTACGGCGGACCGAGGGCTTGGTGGAGGGCGTGCGGCGGATGGTGGCCACCCCCGGGGTGGTGCCGGCCGGTAGGTTGGTGCCAGTGGGCAGCCCGGCGGTGGAGGCGGGACGCTTGGTCTGGATCATCCGCCGGTAGTTCTGGGCGATGTTGCTGTTGCGCGGGATGGTGGAGGACTTGTCGAAGTCGCTCTGGGGGTCGCACTCCACGTCGCCGTTCACCGAGTAGCAGTCGTAGTCGGAGCCTGGGGAGGGAGCAGCACAGTCAGTGTGGCCAACCACGATCACCCCAACCCACTATTGCAGGACAGACACAACCACCCCACTCCATCACACTGAAATCACAACCAGACCCAACTGTCACCACTGCAACACGAACACAACCAGCCCCCACCGTTGCCACTGGTTGAATCAAACCCAACCATCACCATCACAACCACCCCAACCACCGCTATCACAGCACGATCACAGCCAAGCTCCACTGTCACCATCACATGCTCATCACTGGCTCAGCCGTCATCACACCAACATGATGATTACAAACACGATGTAATCATCATATAATCAACACGGTGATTGCAAACATTATTTGATCTCCAACCGCCAGCTCTGCTGCCGCCACCTACCATCTGCCACCATCTCCACCTGTACTCAACTGCTGCACACAGACACATCACCACAAACCAGCTCCAACAACACCCTGCCAAAAGGCTGCCCATTACAGCAATGCTCGGCACAACTGTAGCCACCGAGCCTCAAATAACACCCAAATAATCAGAAAAGGCTGTGGTTATGTGTGGTACGAAGCTTGTGCCACAGCCCAAATCCCCAACACACATCAAATGTTCACCCCAGCAGCCCCTGTGCAATGTGACCACAGCCTGATGTTACGACACCCAGGGCATGCAGACGTGCTCCACGACCTCCCCTTCCCCACTCTGGGTGCTGTTTCAAGTGGCCCCAGCTACCCCTTGTACCCGAAGTACCTTGGGAAGGGATGGTGTCCTCGGAGCAGGAGGGGGTGGTGGTCTGTGTGCTGTAGCCGCTGGAATACTGCAGCGAGTCCCGGCTGCTTTTCTGGTGCTCCAAGCTCAGCCCCCGGGTCAAGACCATGGCCAGGTCGCTGGCGGCAGGGGACACCTCCTCCCCGTGCTGTGGGGGCAAGGGGCATTGTCAGCACCCTGGATTCTCTCCTGGGAGTCCCCTAAGAACCCCCCACCTCTGTGCTCTCCCTGCTGCAGGCGGTACCTTGGCAGCAATTGTAGCCGGTGACATCCGGGGCCTGGGAGCATCCTCGCCGCCAATGCCCGGGTACCCCCCGGCAGGAGAGCCCATCTCGGCTTCCCGGAGGTGCTCCACGCGGTCCTTGCGCCGCTGCAGGGTGGGGACCACTGGCTGGTCGTAGGGGCTGGCCTTGGACCAGTCCTGCAAAGGGCAAGGCATGAGGCTGATGCTGGCGACACCGGGACCAGGAGTGGGGCAGGAGGGGGCACGTGCTGATGTCCCCCACCAAGCCACGGGTGCTGCTCGGGATACTCTGCCCCATGGGGAGGTGGGATGGGGGATCTGGGGCCTGAACCCCATGAGGTGAGAGGGGGAACCACGTGTGAAGTGCAACCCCGGTGGGATGGCAAGGACTAACCGAGGTGGGGGAGCTGCACTCGCTAACTGACTGGCAGGTTTCAGAGGCCTCTGAGGACGCTGAGCTGGAGGACTTCTGCTGTGCCGTGCCACGAGGCCGAGCCGAGAGCCAGAGGGGGAGAGAAGAGGCCGTTAGGAAGCAAAGTCAGAGCTGCAGCCCCGGTTAGAGAAGCACCCACGGCTCCCCTGGCTGTGCCAGGCCCCCAGCCCTCCTCCCCTCCGGCAGCGGATGCGGGATGGCGAGAGGCAGCGGGATCTACTGAGCTGGGATGATGCTCTGCCCCAACCCTCCCCCCTGCTCACCCCAAGCCACGAAGAGACAACTGGCATTTTAGGGAGTGGGGACCTTGCCAGGTTGGTGGTGCCAGGTTAGCATGGGCAAGCCAGAATGGCAGCTCCCTAGGGATCCTGGAGCATCCTTGGCACTGGGGAGGATGCAGAGTGAAGGGGAAGCTTTGCTCATGCTGCCTGGTGAGGGACTGGCACAAACCAGGCATTATGGGGCTGGGGTGACTGGGAAACACCCTGTTCTCCCAGTGGGAAATACCCTATTCCCTTGGCATGGGGAGAGGGATATCTGTGCCCCATCCCTTTTGGGGGGGGGAGTCGTGGATGGGATTTCTCTGCAGTGTGGCCTGTGATGCCCCCGAGTAGGGCAGACACCCCCAATATTCCCAATATTTATCTCCCGTGATGCCTACGCAGCTGGAAATACTCCTGGGGGTGGGTCCCATCATCCCTGCACCGGACCCTCGTGCTGCACCCAGCACCACCCACCCGTTCCACTGAGGGGGGAGCTGAGGCACGGAGGTGGGCAGCACTGACCGCCCGCCCCGTACCTGGCTGGTGATGTCCGAGGGCATGGGGGAGGGCGGTTTGGAGTAAGCGGCGTCCTGGGAGATGAAGCCGGAGTCGTGGGAGGAGACGCTGGAGAGGCGGGTGGCGGCGGCGGGGGGCTGCGCCAGGCTGCGGTAGCGATAGGTGGAACTGGGTGAGCAGGTCTGAGCCCCGCCGGGCCACGCCATGCCACCCTTGGCACTGCTAACGCTGCTGGGGGGGCGCCGGGGGGACGGGGACACGCCGGGTGGGGAGGACAAAGGAAGGAAAAGAGAATTTGAGACAGAGGCTCGGAGGTGGCAGGGCGGCCAGTGCCCTGCCACGCACCCCGACCTGGGGAAACTGAGGCACACGGGGTGCCACACAGGGTGCCCCTGTGGCAGGGAACAGGCTGAGGGACAGGACAAAGGTGGTGTGTTTGCCCCCAGGTTGCCCTGCACAGCTCACATTGCCCCCAAACCCCAGATGACACGGCACGTTCCAGGCACCATCCTGCCCCATAGGTCCATCAGCCCTGCCCAGTGCACCAAGACCAGTTCCTCCACATTAGTGGGAACCAGTTGGCCACACGAACATGAGAAGGTGGACATGCACCTTGTGAGCATCCCCAAGGGCTGCAAGTGTCCTTAGCCCACTGGGGTTAACGAGGAGGACTGGATTTCCTGGCTGTGGTTGGGTGTGGAGCCCACCCCACCATACCTGCACATGCTGGACTTGCGGGAGCTGGAGCTGCTGGGCGAGGACGGAGGGGTCTGGTAGGACCAGCTGTAGTCAGAGCCCTTCAGATCCTTGATCACCTGCAGGAAGGATCGGGTGTAAGTCCCCTCAAAGATGCTCCCCTCTCCCCTGAGCCCCCCAGCCCACCCCCACTGACCTGCTCGCTGGCGGGGGGCAGCTTGTGGGGCTCGGCCGTGAGCACCACCAGGTCCTCGATGATGCCCTGCAGGTGGGTGATCTCTCCCAGCATGGTGAGCTCCCCATTCTGAGGTCAGATAAGAGGGAGCATCAGCACTGACTGGGCAGCAGGAATCACCCCCACACTCCCCTGGTCCCTGGCACTCACCACCACGGGCTGCAGGAAGGTGATGAAGGTGCAGAAGCGACCCCGCTCTTCAATGAGGGCTTTGCGGACCGCCTGCTTCTCCGTCTCCTCCAGCAGCAGGTACATGTCATTGACGTCCTGCAGGGCGTTGTCCAGCTGGGGCTGCAGGTCCCCTTTCCCTGTGAGATGGGACACTGTCAGTGCTGGGCTCCCCTGACACTCCCCTCAATCTGATGGGGTCCCCACTGCCAAGCTGAGGCCACACCCCCGGCTCTGGCTTGGGGACATCACCCCATCCTCACATCCCAGCAGCTGCCACAGGTCCCCCACTGTGCCCCTATCCCTGGAGGGTCCAGGAGCACCTTCACCCCACAGCAGCCCTGGGCAGGGGGCTCCTCCATCCCCATTCCTGGCACTTGGGACCAGGGGACCCCTTGGGCTGCCACTGTGGCGGGGCTGGCACTGCCCCAGGACACGGGGTGCAAGCTAAGCTAAGCTAAAAGCAGGGTGAAGGGGGCACAGGGAGCGGATGGATGGACGGACAGACAGACAGAGGCTGGGGAGACTGGGGGGGAGCAGATGAGGAAGCAGGGGGGGGGCCGGTGGGGGGGGCAGCAGTTCACTTACCAAGTAGCTCTACAGGAAGGATGTGGAGGGGAGGGAAGAGAGAAGGAGACAGAGAAAACGTGTGAAAAGAGGTCAAAGGCTGGGGCACATGCCCCTGCCTCCCCACCACCCCCTGGGCCATGCTGGCACCCCCCTTTCTGCAGGGGGGCAGCAGGATCCCCCCAGTGCCCACCCCCCATTTGGCAGTGCCACAGCCGGGGTGCCCGCTGTGGCTGGGCGTGCTGCAGAGGGGCTGGTGGGGGTACCCCCCAGGAGACCCTCCCTCACCTTTGCGAGCCTTTTTCTGGAGCTTGAGGGTGTCAGAGGATTTTTTCTTGATCTCGTGGCGTGCTCGCTTGTACTCTGAGGGCACAGAAGTGCTGTCAGAGGGGATCCCCCCCAAGCAGAGCAGCCACCCTGCACGGATCCATCCTGTCCCTCCCCGTACCTTTCGCGTGGTCCTTGTCCAGCTGGTTGGCAGTTTTCTTCCAGTCCTCAATCCTGTCCTGCAAAGGGTTTATCAGGCTCTCCATGAGGGCGCTGGAGCAGGGAAGAGAGAGAAGCAGAGAGCGTGGGAGAGCGCCAGAGCCGGGGTGTGGGGGAGCCATGCCCCCCAGCCCAGGCCCAGCTGACAGCCAGCACCCCCTCCCTCAGCGAGGGACAGCAGCCTAGCTGTGTCACCAACGCCCTGGGCTGGGCCCCCTTACTTGGTGAACTGTCACCAACACCCTGGGCCCCCTTACTTGGTGAACTGCCGGAGCTTGGCCTCGATGCTGCGGTGCCTCATGCACATGCGGGTCAGGGCAGAGCCGATGTCCCTTGTGGCACCTGGTGGGGAGAGAAGCACCACTGACGAGGGGCAGGGACACCCCCCCACCAGTCCCAGCCCAGTCTGCGTGGTGGCAGCAGGGTGGCTCATGGCAGGGACGATGGGCACTGGGAAGTGCTGAGGTCTGGGGACTCTTTGGGACTCTTCTTTTTTTCCCCACGGTAAATCCACAAAATAAATCAATCATCGTGCACCAGCTAACAAATAAAGCACTAAATATCCCTTCCGGCGGCTTTGAAATTAAAACCTGCTCCTGTTTTTCCCTGGTTTGTCTCAAATTTGGCATTGTGAGGCCAGGGAAGGGGAGGGATGAGGTGCCTCGGCTTAGTTCCAGGCAGTCAGCTCTGTCCCACACCTCCAGGCACAATCCTGAGTGGGTAAAAAGGGAGTCCAAACTCCCCGGGTGGGGCTATTTGCCAGCCACAGAAAGCAGAAGCATCCCTTTCAGATCAAACTGCTGTTAACCCTGAAGCCTAAGGATGGCCACGTGGTGGCAGTGCTGCTGGCAAATCCCAGGAAAAGCAGCAATCCAAAATCCTTGGGTGCAAATCGAGGAGTGATATTCTGCCCTTCTCTCCCATAAAAGAGCCTCCAGAGACACCTTCCACCCTTTTGCAGGACTTCTGAGCACTCCCCAGCCCCTCAGTGCTGTGGAAATAGGGGAACCCGTGGGCCCAGGGCCTTCTCCTGCACGGGGGTAGTCTCCTAATCCAGCCCCTAATGCTCTTATCCCAGCTCCTGCTGCTCCTAATCCGATTCTCACGCGCTGTGTGCGAGGCCACCAGCCAGCCCCCACCCAGTGCCTCAGTTTCTCTGTGCTGCTGCTCTGTCTCCCACCCTCCCCAAAAAAACCCCTGCAGGCATAACAGCACGACAAGGTGATGCTGACTCCCGGGGTGCCGGTCCCCAGCTGTTCCCAGCATTCCCCCCCACCGTGCTCCCTCCTTGCTTCCACTGCCCAGGCTGGTGGGGAGCTGGGGGAGACCTAATCCCCCCAGTGCAGTGGGCTAGTGGGTTTGGAGGCAAAGCTGATCCTGGCTCAAGCTGCTGCCTCCTCCTCCTCCTCCTTGCGCAGCTCCAGATGGCCTGGATGCCGCCAGTCTGCAAACCAGCCCGGGACCATCTGCTTGGCAGAAGCCGATCGGTGGGAAGTGGCTCCTCGTTGCCAACAGGCACTTGGAGAGGGTCCGGGGGTCCTTCCCCCCCACCCCCCAGCAGCGTGGAGGCCCCCTCAGCTCTTCAGTCACTTCCCTGGTGGGTTGGGGTTTGTCCATGAAACAGTCGAGCCTGGACTCCTGAATCTCCCTCCACTTAATTTCCCTTCCCTAGAGACACCTGGAGTGGCCAGGACCGCCCTGGGAATTTCCCAGGTGGGTGCCAGGGACAAGGAGGGTGGCTTGTGCATCCCGGGGGACAGAGATGGGTGCAGGGGACCATGCCGTGGGGCTGAGCCACTCCAAATGTCCCAGCCCCACCAGAAGATGTGGCTAGGCACCCATGGGTGGTGAGAAGCCAGCATCCACATGGGTGCCCACCCCTCCACTCCCCACCTTTCCAACCCTGTTTCCCAGAGGATGCCCCATCTTGGTGTGGGGACAGGTTGGACATCTCTCCACGGATGGTGGAGCTGCTGACTGAAGTGCACTCCAGTCACATGGGCAGGGGACACCCCACAGGGTGGCCAAGCCTGGGGACACTCACTCCTAGGGGAGAGGACCTACCTCGGGTGTTGGTGGCCATGTCGGCCACTTTCTGGAAGGCATCCAGGAAGGCAACTGCAGCCAGCACTGTGGTCCTGGGGCGGAGAGAGCGAGGGGGGAGCTCAGCAGGTGTGAGGCACACTGGGATGTGCCATGGGGAGAGGGGAACCCCATGTCCCACACCACCCTTGGCCACTCACCTGAGCTGGGAGTGCAGCTTGGTGGCCTTTGAGTTGAAATCCTCCCAGATGGGGTAGGAGCTCTGTAAGGAGGAACAAGGAGGAAGGGCCATGGTGAGAGACAGAGCCCCTCATCCCCTGCACCTCCTCCCACACAGGGCAGCTCTCCCCTTCACTGGTACAGAGAGACAAGGCAGCTCAGGGGCTTCTCTGATGGCTAATAAAGGCTGAGCATAACCCTTTCCCCTCCCGTTTTCTTCCCTTTCCAGTCTGGCCACCCAAACTTGTAGACCACGGAGACCTCAGGATCTTGGGTGATCTCTTCCTCACAGGGCTCAAGGCATCTCATGGGTTTGGAAATTTGAGAGGAAGAAAGAAAAAAGCTTTAAGACCCTGGCCAGCAGCAGAGCAGAGCCCCCCAGAACCTGCAGCCTCCCCCAAAGCACTGATGGCCAAACCCACCATCATGGAGGGCTCCATTCCCACAGCAGGAGCCCCAGTCCTCGCCTCTCCCAAGCCCGTGAGGACCAACAGGGCAGGAGGGGAGGTTGGGGTTGGGGACAATTGTATGGGGACAGGGACAGGGCACAGGTGCTTGGGAGGCCACCCCAGTGCCATTCCAGCAAGGCCATCCCTGCAAGACCAGTCCCACTGCCTTTGTGGTGAGGCTGTTCCAGGGCTGCCCTGGTGCAACCATCCCAGTGAAGCCATCCAGGGCTGTCCCAGTGCCATCATCCCAGCAAGGCCATCCCAAGGCTGTCCCAGTGCCACCATCCCAGCAAGGCCATCCCAGGGCTGTCCTAGTGCCACTATCCAGTCAGGCCATCCCAAGGCTGTCCCAGTGCCACCAT